GATGGATAAATGGATAAATGGTTTATGGATTGAAACTCTATTTATTAGTAAATTTTGAAACTCTCTATTAGATATGATAATATCGAGCTCAAATTCATTAGGCTACACAAAGTTGATTTTTCGTATAACATTCTAAATTTCGGTCGTCTGGTTAAATTTTTTTTTTTTTGTTATTAATCTAAATGAATAGATTGAATCTTCTAAGTTTAAAGTTGTCTTGAAAAGGCATTTGACTTGTTCAAGTACTATAGCCAGAATTTAAAGCTCTTTAATTAACTTTCGAACCAGCTAAATAATAAGACAAAAATTATTTTGAGTTTAAACTTATTGGTAGCTTACCAGATACAAGAATGACTTGTATCTGTAATAGCTATGTACTAATCTATTATTGTTATCCATTTTTAAATCTGAAAATTAGAAAAAGCTTACTTCACAAGGACTTTTATTTTCTGAAGGAAACCAGATTATTGCTGTTGTTGCTGCAAGATGTGATAGATGTAAGTAACTGGACTTTGATTTCAGTATTAAATTTGCAATATCGAGCTCAAATTCATTCAGCCACATTAAGTTGATTTTTCGTATGGTATTCGAAATTTCAGTCTGCCGGCAGATTGTTTTTTTTTTTATTAATCTAAATTAATAGACTGAATCTTTTAAAAGCTTTCTTGAAAAGGTACATTTTACTTGTTCAAGTACTTATGCTATGATTTTTTAACTTTCGAATCAGCTAAACAATAAGGCATAAAATTATGTCGAGTTTAAACTTATTGGTACCTTACCAGGTACAAGAATGACTTGTATCTGCAATAGCTATGTACTAATCTGTTATCGTTATCCATTTTAAAATCTGAAAATTAGAGTGTGATAGATTTACAAAACCTGCATTCCCTCTAGAAGTAATACAAAATCTCAATTTATCAAAAGCCGGCAAAGAATAGGGATATTAATAAAATGGTTTATATATGTAACTTTAAAAAAATTATTTATAAATGAAGTTTGGCTGATTTGTAAATCTCAAATTTAATGCTAATCCTAAAATTGCAAATTAGAAGAGATGATCTTATATAGCTCATTATCAATCGACAATGATTTACTTTTAGTACGGTGGTCGCAAAAAAAGAACTAAAAATAATTGATTACTATGCATTCTATAAATTAAGAATGGCTGACGATTCTGTGTTTAAATGAATGCTACAGACTATTTGATTTGTTTAAGATAGTAGAAAATTGATTAGCTGTTTTCGAAATATAGAGAGACCATCCAAAACGCTTTTAATTTTAAAAAATACAAAGTGTTAACTGTGTTAGTCAAAGATGATACTAAGTTGGATAATACTGAAATTTGGTGTCTTCACTATGTTTCAATATTACCTCATTTTCTGAATTAGACTCGAGTAATTCTCATATGTCTTTATATTTTGATTAAATAAGTTTACTTTTTTTTTGATCTAAATTTATTAAAATGATTAAAAAAAAAATCGATTTTTGAATTTTTGGATCTGCTGGTAATACAAAATGAAAATTAATTTTGCATAGTCTTGTATTTAGTTAGACGTTCCAGATTTTCTAATTGCTTTTTTTGGTGGTATTCATATGATAATTTTAATTTGGCATTGATATTTATATAAAATTATTGGCATAGTTATCATAAGTATAAATGCTATAAAATTAAAATCGTCAAGTAAAAAATTTTTTTCATATATATTAGGATTAATATATATTAATATACTGTATATCAATAAAATTGAGTTCTGAGCGACACCAAGAGAGATCCTGTCTTTGTGAATAAATTTATTTGTTAAATTCAGCTCTGATCTGAGACATACTGATACATATATAATATGTAATTAAAATAAATGCTACAAAAGAAATCAGGTTTCGGGTTTTCAAAAATATTCAAAAGCATAAAGTCTGATTTCTTTTGAAATACTTATTTTAATTACATATCACGTGTGTATCAGTAAGCCTTGGATTATTACTCGAAACAAAATCTACCCGAAATTAGTTTCTGAAAGCTCTAATCTGAAACTAGCTTCGGATTTTTTAAAACAAACCAAAACCTCGAACCGAAACCTCAAAACCATCTGAAACCCAAATTATAATCCAAAACTTTTAAAATTATAGTTTTAATTCCCAACACTTTTACTTATTTCCCTAACATAGATACTATATTATATACATGATCAAGAATTTATTGACTGATTTAAATATAGCTCAAGGTTCCAAAAAATCGATTTCAATATTTGCCAAAAAGTGTAATAAAAGTTTTTTAATACTTCTATATCTTTAAAACCCCGATTTGCTAATATTTAAAACGTTTAACAATTTTTCGAATTGTTAAACCTAAATTTTTTTTAATTATTAAGTTTGGAGTTTTGAGATTTCAGGTTTCAGAAAAGTTTTGGGTTTTAATCTGAAACCCAAAACTTTTAAATTTGACGAAAAAGTTTCAGTGATCAACTCTAGATTAGTTAAATTTAGCAAATAAATTTAAATTTACAAAGACAGGATTTTTGGCAATACTCATATTTAATATAAATTATATTTAAAAATAATTTATCTATTTATTATTTATATATTTTATTTAATATTTTATAGAAACTCTAATATTTTATTTTTAATTTAACTATATTTTCATATGTTAATTTAAATTAGAATAGAATAAAATCTGTATTATAAATTAGTAAGATTTACTATGTAGATTATAATATTAAAATAAAATTTATTTTAGTAATATCTTTTGCTTATAAAATTATACAAATTATAAATATACATATTTAGATTTTTATAAAATTTTGATTTATATAAAATTTTTTAAAGTTTATTTTTTTAAAACTTTAAAATGGAAAATTCTATTCATCCATTATTAAATAGTATTTTTTCTGAAACTCACCAAGAACTTCAAACATTACAAAATGATTTTTCTAATCTTCAAACCTATTTTGTAAATACTAATGATAATAATTCAGAATTAGAAGATTTTAATGAAATTTTAGAAGAAAACGATGAAAGTGATGAATTTTTATATATTTCTGAATATCAATTACAAAAATATCAACAAATTTATAATAAAATTAAAAT